GTTTGCATGTAGAGACATCAGTCAAAATCAATTTTGATGCACTTAGTTCTGTAAAACAAAGTTAGATGTCTCACTTTTAAATTGTCTAATAAATATGTTTGATTCTCGGTTGTTTTACTTTCTTCAAAAAATAAAAAAATAAAATAAAATAAATATACCTAATTTTTGGTTTTTTTACATTAAACCAGGCAACTGCTTGACCACAATCTCACCAACTTGGAAGCGACGATGTGGTTGAAGCTGTAGCACGCTTGCTTTAATTAACAAAAAAAAAAAAAAAATTAGGTGTATGGCCCAGCAGGAAATATTATTTCTGAAATTTGTTCTGCCTGCTGAAAAGGTTGCCTATTCCTGATTTAAATTATTCTTTTCTGTTCTTTGTTTTTAACTTCTTGTCTTTTCCTTCTTTTGTTACTCTTACTATTGATTTAATGTATAAGACTTGGAAGTTTCTAGAAAATAGAAGAGCATAGCATATACAACAGAGTCCCATACAATGCGGATTCGTTACACATTACAGGAAATCATGTTATCAAAACCTGCATTATCACAGGATTTATGAAAATTTAAACCTTGGCCTATAAGTTGAAAAAAAAAACGTAAAAAAAAAAGCAAGAAACACCCTCGAATTTTGTCTGATTGACAAAATTCAAGGGTGTTTCTTGCTTTATTTGCACGCTGTATGGGACTCTGCTGTACAGACCTATGTGGGAGAAAGGAAAAGAATCAGACTATCTACAATTAGTTTTTTTCATTACCTGTAGAGGGTGCGACTTCTTATGTAACAGCTATATTATTTTGGTTTCTTGTTTATATTAGATTAGATGAGAGTACAAATGAAGCAGCAATAACTGAAATAGTAATTATTTCAGAAGATAATGTGAAATGTGCCATTTTAACATAGAAACACTTTTATAACAATTTAGAACATTTTGATAAGAGAGAAACATCTGCAGATAATAAATTCAATATTTATATTTTAAGAAAAACAAAAACCAATCAAAGATTAAGTGTTTAAATGTTTGTCTAAGTGTTTAGAATCCCATTCTGTAACATTTTCAATATACATGTAATGGCATTTCTTATTAAAACATTGTTAGTTGTACATTGAGCTTCATTTCTGTATGGTGATTACTTCTATATGTTTGCCAAGACACATCAGTTCCTTAAGCCATGGTCACACCATGTGATTTCCAGCCACACAGGCAACCGCAACAAGTGCGAGTTGCGCGTCTTCTCATGGTCACACATTATTCACTGGCATTGCAATTCAGAAATATGTCACTCTATAAAAACCAATAAAATTACAGTAGCTTGTTTTTGACTACTTTCGTGAGTTTATCGACATTTTACATTCTACTTCAGAGTATTTACGGAATTTTAGCTACTTTTCTTATTAAAATGGCAAGCAGTTCCTTTTCTGGAATGAATAAAAGAAAAAAGCAATAATATACAAAGAGAAAAATAAGAGAAATGTTCATGCTGGGTTAACTTGGAGAAATGAAAATCAACGAGCTAAAAAATCGTGATTCCACCAGCTGATGGACAAATTAAGGCTTTCAGATACCGAAGATTATAGATAATATATCTGTATGGATATGAATACTTTCCAAAGTATTTTGAGGAGGATAACATAATAGCTAAAGAAGATACACATCTTCGAAGTTCTATTTCACTCAGAGAACATCTTTTGTTGACACTTCGTTATTTAGTGGCCAGTAAGAATATAATATATTTTGTATTTAATTTATATTTTATGCAATCTTATGATTAAAATGGATCATATATAATTTAGGCAAAATGTTTCATAGTTTGGCATATCAATTTAGAGTGGTAGGACCCAGACCTTAAGGTCAAGGGTATATCCGATTATGAAATTTCCTGCTCTTTCCATTGCCGGGGTCAAAAATATGTATTCCCATTAAAAAAAGACTTGACCATCAAATGACCTTGAAGGTTAAGGTCACATCTAAGGTCACCAATTGATCGCCCCCTTCAAAATTCTACAACTTTAGTCTAAACTTTTTCCAGAATAATGAGATCCAATTAAGTTATTTCATTATCTTGATTATATGTGGATACAGGTACTAATGAGAGACAGTGATTCTTCGATTTGAAATGCATCAAATCTGAAGAAAGCCATTGATGATTGAAAGTTAAACTTTCCACCAGATAGTCCTCTTCAAAGTGTAGGACAGCCAATTCCATACGTATTTGTTACAGATGAAAAAGGAATTGGTATGTCTTCACGAGTAATGAGGCCTTACCCAATAAAACAGTTGACAGCTGAGAAATCCATCTTCAATTATAGGTAAAAGAGCTATTTAATATTAATTATTTAAAACAGTTTATTATTAATATCATTAGTGTATAAGTCATAAAACTGTTTAATTTAATTCAAATTTAAATTATTGTTAGATTATCAAGAGCAAGGAGAGTTGTTGAAAATGAATTTGGCATCCTCTCTTCTGTTTGGAGAGTCTTCTCCACACTGATTTTATTATCCCCGGATAAGGCTGCAAAAATCATCTTAACATGTTGTGTTCTTCACAACATGTTATGAGAAAGAAAAATGAAATCTTATCTTACAGATGCTACCAGTGACAACTTTGAAGAGCAACATAATCAACAGCTTACACCCTTGAAAAACAGTCATAATTTAAATCCATCAACAGCAGTAGCAAAAGTAATCCATGATGAATTCAAAACTTATTTTAATACTGTAGGCCAAGTAGAATGGCAATGAGATGAAACTTGTTTGTAAAATTATTAAATAATAAATATGAAATGTAAAATTATTAAAAAAGTTTGGAATTATTATAATTACAATTCTTCATTATAAATGATATACTGTTTTGAGTTAAGAAATACAACTTTGATACAATAAGTGAAAAATGTTTATTAAGTATTATTTACAATATTTTTTTCCTCTACAATGAGAGAAAATATTTTTATTTTTAAGTCCAAAGCATTTTTCTTGAAAAGGGTTCTTAGTTTGGCAGCTATAAGACTGCCAAATTCGTCAAACACATCCTTCTTTGGTTCATGACTCAGAGCCTGAAAAAAATATTAAAAAACAATCTTAAATGAAAAGGCAAATCAAGTTTTCAGTCTTATATTATTTATTAAATAGTCTTCNTGGAATCATGCACAACATTCCAAATACCATTGTCGAATTTCTATGCTTACAGGAAAAAGTAGAGCAGAACGTCTGACGTACACGTTTTCGTGTTTAAAACTTCAATTCAACCTCGCTATTGTTTTATCTTTCTTGGTGGCTGCAGATCAAATGTGGAAGGTCATAAAGAAATGTTTAATGAAAGCATTTCATTATCATCATACCCATCTACTATGTTTGTTTCTATATTTGTTTCATCTACCTTAGACATGCAGTCAGAAGTGGATTGTTGTATATGAGCTAACTATAAAAAATAGGAGAGATTTAATTAGTTTTTATCTACTTCAATATATAAAATATATATAACTTACATAATTACATCATATGATGATAATGGTGACATCATTTTCTTATAAGAATTTAAAAGAAAAGTGAGGGATGACCAATGTTCTCACATTGGTTTATATATTTCATTGTCACCACATCCACTTCACTTGCTGTCGTTTACTTTTTTTTTATTCGAAGAAACGTCATTCTCAAATGATGGAACTTCTTACTTAGTTCTTTAGCTATATTTAAAACAATATTGTCATTACCAAACTAAAAGCAATCAACATTTTATATCCAGAAATCTAAAAATGGTACTTACAATCAATGCCGAGATTTTCACTTATCTCATGCCATGCCTGCGCTCTTGTCTTTTCTTCAATAGAACAAGAATTAAAGTCCCACAGGCATTCCTGAGACTGAATTAACTTGATAAATCTGGATTCTGTGAATGTATCCATCGTCTTATTTTCTACCATGATAATGAACTATTTTCAATGTTGCCACCGTATGATATGGCACAAAGATGCTTTCTGATTGGATGTGAATTTGCAATCAGTGCGAGTAGAACAAACTTTTTGTTTCTAGTTGCGGTTGAAGTCGCACCAGTTTTTGAAGGGAATTTACTAGTTAACGAGAACAGCTGTCGTGGTTGCAGTTGCCTGCATGGCTGGAATCACATGGTGTGACCACAGCTTTACAGATACAAGTGGTAAAGATACAAAGGTTCCACTGTATATAAAAAGCTAATAAATATAATTTAACATTTTACATGCTAAGAAACTGTTTAACAATGGAAGAATAAACTTTGTAAATACAGTTAGTTTTGTTTCATTTTTCATTCATTCAGAGAATTCTCTGAAATCAATATAATGCATCAATTTACTATACAAATCGTATTTCACATAGATTTTATAAATATAAAATAATATATTTAAGTAGGTTAAAAACAATGAATTTCACTTCAAAATCTTATTATAATTACTAATATTATGTGAATCTATTATGGCATTATATATGCATGTAAAAGACAATTATAAAGTTTACAGCATATACATTTACCAATTTTTCTGATTAGTTAAATATGACTAATATATTTTGTTTCTTTAGCTGGATCTTTCGAATATAAATTTAAATGTGTGGAGTGTTAGTCTCTTTATATTCAAACCAATATCTCAGTTATATTGTTTTCTTTAATTGGATTTAATATTGTTTAGAGAAATAGTTTTTGTGTTTGTTGTTGAATGAGGAATAGAAAATCTAGTTACAAGAACTTTAGATAACTTTTTTATAATCAAACCTAATTGACTATAAAAGTTTTATTTATCAATTACATTAGACAAATTTAATGTTACTATTTCAATTTTTGCATAAAACTGATTTAACTTAATCAATTCAATATAAAATCAAAGATATCAAACCACTGTTTAAATTTTAAAATATTTTTAAAATATCTCTCTTGTATATTTTTATATTTTAAAATTTTTCTTAATTCAATTTATTCTTATATCTAAATAAAACAGTATTATGAAATTTAAAAATAAACATTTCTTACATAATGTAACAGTAGCAGCAGACACATCAGCCATTCCAGATATAGTACTAGTGATACTTGCTTCACTTGATCTTCTCCCCATCGAAGGATAACTATTTTGAGAAGCACCTTCGTTAAAGACGTGAGCATAAGTTTGGATGTATTCCGCTATAAAATACATTCAATAATATTATCATTACATAATCGTAATATGTATTTCATAATTTAAAAAATTACTTTATTCAACACAATGAAAATATATAAATATATTTAAGACAAATTAAAATTTATAATTATTCTAATGATCAATACAGGAAATCCTCGTTAATTAAAACTCAGATAGTTCAAAATCCCATTAGTGGGATTTTGTAACTGTACTTTTGTCACAGCCAGGAATATAGAGATTTGCATATTTTGAAAATCATGTTATCCAATATGTTATCCTTTTTGTAATTTTCTTTTGATAAATAAATCATATTATATTTATAAATATTTGAATTGGAGTTCAATTAGTCATAGGTCTAACCCCATTGTCCGCATGCATTCCCTCCTCATATTTGAAACCACTCTGGCATATTTAAACTAACTAATTAAATCTGTTAAGATAATTGATTAGTTAATATCCTAACAACTGAATTGAGAATTAGGATTGGTGTCAGGACCCTAATATTTAGACAAAGATTTTATTGAACTCCTTGTCTTGTAAAGTACTATTTTATTTTTCCGACTTTCCAACGATTATCGACACTACTGTGTGCCGGAAATAGCCGTTCCCTAACGGGTACTTTACGCGGATTCGCGTTAGTGTGCCAGGCCTGGACTTTAAGCGTGCACCGAATTAAATAATGACAAAGTTTGTCAATAACAAAATCAAATATTTAATTAAACTTCTATTAATAAACTCTATACAGTATTTAGTAAAAATCAAACAATAATTTATTCAATGAAATTCAACAAGAATCAATCCGACAAACTCAAATCAATCTATTTCTAACTTAATTCTATTCCCCTTTGGAATTCGACAAAATCAAAGAATTAACTTATAAACAATAATTCTTATAAATTAAAGATCCTAATCGTCACCTCAATATACTAGGAACCTATTTCCTCAAACTCTCAAGACTTTCTATAATCGTCGATCCACAAATCGAATAACTTCAAAATCCTATCGGACACCTCTCTCGTTCACTGCTACGAAGCTCACCAAAGCTCGTTGCTATCAGGAATTCACCTCGTTCGTTTTCACTTGAGTTAGAGGCTTTATAGTGTGAGGTGACGTCACAATTCTGAATGAGCTCACTCTCCTCATTTACATACTTATCTGTAACATTAAATTTTTCTTGTTTATCTGGCAGATTATTTTCCGACAATACTTCGCTAACCTTTTACATTATTCTTTTTAACAATTATCGGGATGCTTTATTCTTTTAAGGTTTAGCGATTCCTAACTGGGTTGTGGGGTCTTCCCCCCCTTTTTCTCGGTGCGGACTTACTTTTTTCCGCTTGGGAAGCGCAAGTGTGCGCGAGTTTTTCTACGGCGCTTTTCTTTCGTCGGTGAGTTGGTTTTTCTTCTATTTTTAAGTTACTAAGGTGAATGGTGAGGAAACCTTCGTCTTAACTAAACATAAGCCCCAAACAAAATATAATGAAAGCAAAATAAGAGTAAAATAAAAATAAAGCTCAGACTTGGTTCCTTACAGTCTTAAAAGAAATAATAAAATTTTATCTATCCTGAATTAGTGAGTGAGGGTAAAACCATCCCCTCAATCTCACACATTTATATTATTATTTTTATTGCAATAAAATATTCATGAATTACATTGGAATAAAGAATACCTTGTCCCGTAACTCACGGAAAAGAAGGTACCTATTTCCCCCCTTTACTGTATTAGTTGCACTTTACATGCAAATAGTTCCTCTTCTCTTCCCTTTTCCTCTTCTCAACAAGTTTCCAAATGAGCTTTGAGTACAAGTCTCAAAAGTTGTATTAGGTAAATTCGGATTAACTAATGAATGATGTATATCTGATGATTACTGCTGATGTGAAGATTCCTGTATGCCTTGAGATTGATATATACCATGCTTTTGCTGATCTGCTGTATTGGCCTCAAAGATAGCATCTCCAAGCACTCTATTGAGTATAAGCGATGTGTGTATAGCTGCCTGTTTCTGAAGGATACTAATATCAATGTTGGATTCTAATTGATCTATGTATTTCTTTATGTTTTTTGCTACTATTCCTATTGCTCCTATTACTATTGGAACAACAGTCGTCTGTGTATTCCACAGGCGGTTAACTTCCAATTTCAGAAAATGATATTTACTCAATTTTTCAATTTCTTTAGCACCAATGTTATAATCTGGTGGTACAGTTATATCTATTAAAAATGTTTCATTACGATTTTTATCAACATAAATTAAATCCGGTCTATTGTGAGATACAGTGACATCAGTTTGGACAGGCATTTCCCATAGTATCTTGGCCGAACTATTTTCCTTAACTTGTGGCTGGAGTAAAATTTCCTTCCACCATTGGTCAGCAACATCTATTTTGTGTTTTCGGGTCAGGCACCAGTAGACGTACTGGACAAGGTTATTATGACGTCTTACATAACAAGTCCCTGCCAGTTTTTCACATCCTGATATAATATGCTGCATGGTCTCGTCTTTAATTGCACACAGGTGACATTTCCCATCCACTGGTTCCTTTAAGATGTCATGTTGATATTGTCGTGTCATAACAGCCTGGTCCTGTATAGCAAATATTAATGATTCAATACTTGGGGCTATTTGTTGCTTTTTAATCCATTCAAACACAAGCTCTCTATCTACATTACTCTGATCTAACACATTTCTAGGAAATTGACCATGTAATTGTTTATTTCTCCAAACAGAATTATGCCATTTTACTATTGATTTTTAATTTCTTCATCTGTATGTATTTTTCCTCGCTGTAAATATAATTCACCTTCTATCTCTTGCGCTTCTTTTATTATTGAATATTTATTCCTACCTATATCATGCTTTACTATTACTTTGATCAAGTGATCATTCTGTTCAAGTGACTTTAACAACTATTACCTTACTCTTAGATAGTTGCATTAAAATGTGATACAGGAACAGTTAGAAGAGGAATTGAAAAAAAAAAATTTTTTTTAAGCTTAAATTAGAAAGTGTTTGCAATGACAAGAATGATGCTACTACTACTTTTGCATTGAAAAGTTTATCAAACCACCATATTTGTACATTAAAGTCAATAAAATTTGACTTTAAATAAAGTATACTTTTTGGACCATACAATACATATTTAAGTAAAAACCTAACTAATTTCATTAAGTCAGACTATTCTTCCCTAATTAGTCTTATTTTTAACATAATAACAAACAAACTTTATGTGATAATTTTAGCTATGTTATTGCCAAAAACTATCACATTCTTAACAAACCTTTATGAACTTTCTTATAATCTTTTTGATCAATTATATTTCTTCACAATTTCTTGTTCTTTTCTTTTGGATAACATAGATATTAGTTCACTTCATCAGACAAAGTTTAAAAGTAAATTATAATCAACTTTATATGATTTTTTGATTTATAAAGAAAGTATAAAGAAAACAGTTCTGTTCATATAATTTTGAAAATATTTTTTCTCTGAATCATAGATTGAATTTACAGTTTGGTGATTTATTAGTTGTCTTTGAAATTGTATACAAAAAACATTTGGAATATTTTAATTTTAGTCTTTTCTTCTTTTCAATTACATTAATTATCCCTTTATCATCCATTAATTAGTTTAGACTAAACTTTATATAAAATCAGAAAAGTAAAAACATCGTAAGAAACAATATCTCATCATTACAATTTCATTTTTAACATTGTCACACTTTATCTTAAATGTAATTTATTATTTTATCATGACCAGAAAGAATTAGTAGTAAAAATTCTGTAAACTGATTTTTAATATGCATTTTTTAATTACATAAGATTATTAAATTTTTATATTCATAACATATCTTTGCTTACATAATAATAACTAAATAAAGGCAACATTGCAATACATTCTATCAGAACATATCCAAAAGACATCCTCTTTCAACATAAAATAATAATCAGTGGTTAAAAGTGTATAAAATACTTTCTTAATTACATCTTAATTTTATATTTTATTTATTATTATAAATATCTAAATATTATCCTAATCTACATGCATAATAAATGCATTGGATCTTACCTAAGTGTACTGGTTGTCCATCTCCGAGTGGATATTTCTGATATCGAGGGATATTGACCGGCGACAACTGAGAAAACCGAGCACTCAAAAGTGGTTCTACACGAACTGCACTTGGGTCAGTTGGATGGAATAGATTATAGACTTGTAAACAACTTGGCTTTGGAGGTGGAGCTGTTCAATTATATTGAATTTATTGTATTTCTCACAATAATAATAATTTATTCAATAATTTAATGATAAATGTGTGACAGAGAAAATAGAGCATACAAATTATTTGCTAATACTTACTTATAATCAATTATTAATATATTCTTAATAAATTTTGCACTATTAGATTTAGATAACTAACAATTAAGTGACAAAAATAGTTAACAAAAAAATATTTTATATATCTAAAAGTATTTCTTATTCATGCAAAATGAGAGCTAAAGATATAGATACTATTAATTTTTGTAGAATTCTATTGCTCTAAGCTTTTTTTAACTGAATAAATTTCATGNTTTTCTGTGATTACTGCTATTAACGAACGCACCCACAAACTGTTACCAGTTGATGATGCTCATGCTGAGATCATCATATAGAATGAATAATCCTCTGGTAAAATATTTACTTAAATAATAAAGAGAATTTTCTAGATAAAAAATTGAAATGGATAAATTAAACTGAATAAAAAACTATTATTTAGGAATACAATGTAATAAAGCGCACAGAAAAAATTAAAGGATAATATTCTGAGGTAAATTAAAGTGATAGTTTTCCATATTCTAACTTCTGACAATGATGCAATTCACAAGGTTACAATAATTTTAATTTAAATAAAGAATCTTCCATAAAAAATCCATTTAAATTTTTAATTTACATTTGTTTCTCTCACTATGCACTAATTTTTTTTCTATTTCCAATAACTAAATAGCAAAATGTTTTACATTATAAATCAATAACTTAGTCAATTATCTGTATTCACAGTTATATTGATACATTGTTATATATTACAAGCTTTGTACGCATTTATATTTTCAATCTAGATAATCCTTTAAATAAACTTTACATACAATAATTATATAACATTAGAAGAGCACATATCTATTTGTTCATTAAGAATAGTTCTTGTCTGTACAACTTACATATATCAAAAAACAAATTTTCGTGATTGACTTTACTGAGATTAAGTTACACTTTCATACAGAAATGGTAGACTATCATTTTATCACTAATTCTGAATAGTCAATTCTGAGTTTATCAAAATTTTTCCAAGATAGTTTACTTAAAAATTTCTAAAATTAATCAAAAAAAATCTTCTACCCAATTTATTCTTATTCATGATTTTCCTTGTCTAGCTACAGATGGGATCCAAATCCAATTAATACATGCATATCTGTAAATAGAAGCCCAAAATTTTTTTGATTTATTTCAAAATTGAAAAATATGACTATACAAACTAAATTTCAGTCCTTCTGTCTATTTATGTAGGCTTCTATGTACAGTTATGCAAATAATCCTAAGCTGCCCTAAAATCTACCAGAGAACTCTCAGCTTAAATGTGATTATATAACATAAATGCTGTCAGAAAGATTTTTACTGATTTTTAATTAATGTTTGTAGACGTCGTAGCCTACAAGAAAGGGTCGAAGTCATTTTTAATTGTGTGTGTTTGATTGTATTTGTCTGTTATTTTTAGAAGATTTTTTCTTCAAGTCACGGCTGTTTTGTGGTTCCTGGATTGGAATGAAGAAGATATAAATAGACAGATAGACTGAAACTTAGTTTGTATACTCATATTTTTCAATTTTCAAACATGCGTATCTGTCCAGAGAAGATTCAAACCTATTAGTACTATAAAAACAATAGCTTAACATATCCTATTATCAAAATAATAGATATTTTTTATATAATAAGTTTGCCTAACAATGTTATATACCATATTTACTTGCATATAAAACAAGGTTTTTCTTCATTTTTTCACTGCTTCAAAACCCTAGATCGTCCTATATGTGTGAACGAAGGATTCTTTAGGTTTTTGCAATAATTCTTGTGAACTGTGTACAGTCAACCCCCCATAACACTGTTGATAATTCCGTTTTATATGAATTCCATGTTGTACGAGTCACTTAGATTTTACAAATACGTGTGCCGGGCTGTGAACGGCTCACGTATTTGTAAAATCTAAGTGACTCGTACAACATGGAATTCATATAAAACGGAANTGAATTACATGTTGTACGAGTCACTTAGATTTTACAAATACGTGTGCCGGGCTGTGAACGGCTCACGTATTTGTAAAATCTAAGTGACTCATACAACATGGAATTCACATAAAACGGAATTATCAACAGTGTTATGGGGGGTTGACTGTATTTGCATTTTTTACTAGATGCTCACCTCTGGTGTTTAAAAACAAAAATATTTTATCTGGGTTGTTTGAATCATTCTTGTATATTGCAAGAGTAAAGATGAATAGAAATAGGAAAAGCAAAGCTTTTGAATTGAATTCCAAATTGAAATTGCAAAATCAGCCCAATATAAGTTTTAATCCATTCCCACATGAAAACAGATAATTGTTCTGAAATAAGAATTTGGAGAAACTCGTAAGTGTGGATCTGACTGTTAAGAATTTATGAAAAAGGTTCCCGATTACATGAACAAATTATGTTGTCGATTTTACAAGATTTTCCCTTAAAGATTAAAATGCCAGTAATTTTTGCAGGATAATGTGTGCATTTATCTGCATTTGACATTTTATTTGTGATTAGACAAAATAAAATTAGAATTGTATTGATAAATCTAATTTTCTTTATTTTAATCTTTAAAGTCACACCTCGTCCTATATGTGAGCTCATCATATACATGAGTAAATATGGTATTTATGCCTTACAATTGAATTTTGACAGGGACAACCAAAAACTATATTAATTAAAAATAATAGATGATATTGAACATTGCATTTTACTATATATCTTATTAAACATCTACAATAGTTGCTATCAATATCAATGATTAACCTGTCCTGTGTTGTTCCCAAGTATTTTTGTGTTGACCTCATTTGACCTGACCCGTTGACCTCAAATATACAGTGGTACCTCAGTATATGTCTGCTTTAGAATATGTCCAATTCAGAATACATTCTATTTGGACTAAACAAATTTTGCTCGGTATACGACTTCTGTTTGGTATACGACTTAATTCAATTATATGCGCCATCTATGAATAAGTAACATTATCAGTGTACTAGACCAGACTAGATGTTCGCAATGCCACTGTTTATAACTTTGTTAAATTTCTTTTTATTTTAATTTGTAAGTAAAATGTTATTATTTTTATTAATCGTCAATTGCAAAAATGCAAATAAAAAGTAACAGAAAACTAAAAAAATGACTAGAATCACATTGGAACTGAAAAAAGAGATTGTTGAGAAATATGAAGGTGACATGCGTGTACTGTTGCATACCGTATTCCGAGAATGATGATATCGACAATCGTCAAAAATAAAGACATTATTAAATCTGCTAACATTGCGAAAGGGTTAAATCAATTTCTAAACATAGATCAAAGACATTAGATCATGTTGAGAAATTGCTTTTGCTTTGGATAACTGAAAAACAATGTGTTAGAGACAGCGTATCGGAAGCAATTATTTGTGAGAAAGCTAAAAAGATACACGCTGATCTCATGAAAATCAAGCAGGAACTAGCCAGGAAAGCGAGGTGTTTAAAGCCAGCCATTTTTTTTACATGAAAATGGATTAATCATTTTTACATTACTTCTTATGGAAAAGGTTGGTTTGGTGTATGTCCTATTCGGAATAAGTCCAAACACCAGGAACGGATTAAGGTCGTATACTGAGGTTCCACTATACTTGTTTCTGCATTGGAATGTTTTTGATACTAGATGTCGCTATGTGTAATAATTTTTATATTAATTAAAACAAACTTTCAAAATATAATCTTTTTTTTGTTTTTATATTTTTCAATATATTTATTTTGTTTGTGTAAAATAAAAAAATAATTTTTAACAATACAGTAGCCATGATTATTAGTTTAAAAAAAAATTTTTTCGTTAGGCTTAACATTTACAAAAATTCGACATGGCGACCACACACAATGGAGAAAAATTTCAACATGGGATAGGTTAATCAAAAGTTATCATGTAAATGTCTGTTGTAATTTTCCTAATAATTTCAGAAGAATTTAGTCATATCACTAAAATAAGCCAGGAATTTGTTTAGTAACAATACCAACTATCTTCAATATGATGATAAGATTCATTGTCACAAGACAAATATCATCTCCACACCAGTATTTGTGATGAATGTAACAATAACCAATGATATAGTAATAATTTTTACTGACAAATGTTGTAAATTTATAACACAATATAATTTTATTTGTGAGTTTTATTATTCTTAGTCTCAAAGCAACTCAGGATGAAGGATAGCAAGAGGGAAAAAGGAATATGAAAGAAAGAATTACTGAAGGACCGAAATTGTTGGTAAATGCTATCCTAAATCTGATCCCAAGAAGAAAGTATGTACGGAACATAAAAAAAACTTGTAAGTTTACTTTACATTACCTTCCATATGCAATATTTGCAAGTTGAATACTAAACAAGTTTTGCAAGTTTTACAGCTTCAGGAAAATTAATTGAATAGTTTAAAATAAGGACTTTCAGCAATTGAAATATTTATTACTTACAGTTTTTATCTTCACATGAAAGCATTTTCCTGTATGCTATTACAATTCCAAGTGAAGATCCAAACATAAAAAAATCACTGACATCAAAATCAAATTTATTTTGAGTACTGTGATCACTAGAGCCCGAGCTTCTTCTTCGCAAAGGAGGAGCAGATAATAAACGATTGTACCTATAAAAATTCGTTTTAAAGCATAAAAATTTTTATCTGTTGTCCAAAGTTTACCAATTTTAAACTGCTTTTTTTTTAATGAAACCTAAAATAGTAGTTTAAAGAGTTTTCCTTACTGTACTGAATCATGAAATGTAGAATCTGATTCAGATGGATGAGAATATGATTTCCTGTAAATGTGTCCAGCTGTCATTGATCCAATAGATCTTGTTAATACGTCTTCATTTTCAATTGACTTTTCATCGCTAATAGAAATGAGAGGATTGGGATGTGGAAAAATCCCAGGACTCTGAGGTTGTGACTGTGTTAACTGTTGGGAGGACGGTTCCATTTCCGCAATGCTATTCTCACTTCCGTAACGACTATTGAACTGAGAGGTACGTAATAAGGCATCATATGCAAGGACTGATCCCACACTATCACCAATAACAACAACCTGCAAATAAAAATTAAATTAACATAGAAGTAATAAATGTTTATTTTTATATTTGAACAACATCAATAAATATAAATAATTATAATACTTGTTATCTGTTAATAACAGTTATAAATATATTTGATACTATAGGCAGACATATAATGAATTATTAATGGTTTAGTAATTTTAATTATTTTAATATTTAATTTAATAATTTAGAGAAAGTCTTGCGAAATCAATTACACAAATTTTATTTATTTTACCACCCAAGATTTCCAAGCAAATTAAGTTGAACACTTTTCTAAATGAAGAGATCTCATGATAAGTCTTAACTAATTTCAGAATATGTCGACTCCATGTACACATCAGAACATCAGAAGAAAAACAAATGCTATGAAGATTATAGAAGTTAAAGCTTCTTTATTGGATAAAATGTTTTTGCGACTTCTGCATCCCATCATCAAATCCAAATAATTTTGCATGGGGACATCTATAAGTCAATTCCATTGAGTGTTAAAAGAAATTTGAATACACAAATAGTTTTTTTAATAAATAAAAGAACTTTTGTTTGATTTAAAAATATCTAAGTGTAAAGTAAAGGATTAACACAATTACATAAATAACAAAATAAAAATAAAGTAAAATAATAGTAAGAATAAAAAAAATACAAATATAAAAATAACAAACTGCTCACATATTCAAATTAATTTCCTCTAATGCTCAACAGAAACTTATAGATCTTCAAAATTACAATTGAACCTGTCTATCTTGAAAACCTCTAGCTTAAAATCTATTTTTTTCCCTGTATTTTCAGCCTAAATTTGATATATTTTCCATGTTTATCTCAAATAATTTTCTTTCAAAACTTCTATATTTCAAATTATGGACTGAAGTGTCAGTTACAAATTCAAAACTAAGTGACTATATTTTCATAGCATAAATTGCAGCAGAGAAACATCTTTTGAAATACAGTACAAATTTGCAATTAATGCTGCTTTTCTGTGATTGGCTATGAGTTTGGTTTGGTTTATTTGTTTACAGTAACAAGACACATGAACAATCTGCCGAGGGGCCTCCCAGAAGGGCTTTCTAAGGAAAACTGGCCACTATTTAGGTATTATAAACATGAAGAAAACTCCACTTGGCCAGTCTGTTGGTGAGGTGCAAATCCATGATCAATTACTAGTGTTCAGTGGTTTTATCCATTTGGTCACTGGTGGGCTGAGGCTATGAACTTGACTTCCATCATACTGGTTGAAGGAAGTCTGGCATCAGAAACTATTAACAAACTATTTTTGTTATATAACTAAATGTTTTATTTATACCTAATACAGGTACGTATTGTATTTGCTAAATTGTATTAATAAAATACAATATCTCCAATCAAACCTATTACTGTTTACTGTGTAGGAATATCTATATCTAAAAACCTGTGCCTTGAATTTTTTCTTGTTCTCATGAGATTAGAGATAGACAGATTCAACTGTATTTGGATCTGATAATAAGACAGAGAAGTTTTGAAAAACGTTTTACCCAATAAAGCTTTGACTTGAATAATCTTCATAGCATTTGGGTTTCTTCAGCATAAATTTTTTTAAAAGCGATGTAGTGTCAATTACACTAATTGCCTTTATCTTTTACTTTTGTTTTAAACATTTCCATTTCCTTAAATATCATTTGTTCCTAAATTTATTATTAAGTATAATTTATCTAAATATATAGTAGCTTTTCTTTATAACAACCTTTAGAGGATCTGTCAAAAAAGGTATTAAATCAAATTTTCCCAATAGTTTCTAATTTTGGCAGAATATGCTAATTATATCATGTAAGTGGAAGTATGCATATGGAAAAATACTCCCAAACTTTAAAATCATCTTTTAAAATTAATTAATTTAAAAATATATTAAATAATATAACTTAATAAAATAAAAATAATTTAAAAAATTAAAAAAATACAACTGCATAAATTAGTTTCTAGTACAGTAGAGTAATTATTTCAGTTAATAAGAGAGTGACAATTTTGGATAACCAATCATACTTAGTATGAAAAGAATAAACAGATAAATATCTTAAATAAAGTAAAAATATTAATTTTAATTCTAGTAAAATAGTAAAAAAGATTAAGGTGTAGAAATTTAATACATACAAATGATAAATAAACTAAATGTTGATAAATCCAGCTACAAATTTATAAAACAGGAATTTTGGCTATCCAGTTTTTCCACTTGCTTAAACATACAAATGATAAGAAATAGTGAAAAAATTGTCTAATTTATGAAAACAAGCATTAGTCTTTTATTTCAATCTACAACATACTGATGAAACTTTAAACTCAAAATAAAACATACATATTACTAATGATTTACTCAATAGTGGCTATAGAAGATCATTGAAAATTGTTATTACATAAAAACTTTTTTTTTTAATTTCTGGAAATAATACTCTGTGAAGTCATGTTTAATTATTCTACTTTTGGATAATCAATGTTCTACTGTAATTAAAAAGGACAGTCAATCAGAAAAAATCAAAGGACAATTATCATATTCTACAAGTATACGTGGTTTTTATCCTCATTGAAATCTATCAATACAGTATGTCTTGAAAAAAAACCAATGGTTTTTCATACTTATATATTATAATTTTTTTCATTTAATTCATTATAAAAATTATATTTATTTATACAATAAATTAAAAAAATTTGTTTTTAAACACAGACATTTTTTCCCTATGATGATGATTGTTGTCTCAATATTCAAAAAGCTTATCCAACAAGACTGATCATTTACAGGGTTAGTAAAACAGTATTAAGCTTATGTAAGAACAGCAGTGACTCTGTTAATCATTATATTGTGGCAAGTTATTAAACTAAGAGTTGCTAGTATTTAATTCCATTATTGCTATATTTCCTTTTGCCTAAATCTTTTACCCAAATTCATAGTTTAAACATTTTAAAAATATATTCTTAATTTCTGTTGAATTACATTGGTTTCTAAAGAAAATCAATTCATCCTAGTCACTTTTAAAAGCAATATTTTTTCAAACAAGTTATAAAAATATTTTTCTGTGAATCTATTATGTATTTATGCAAGTCCCATATCATATGTATATACAGTATTTAAGACTTTTCAATTTTATTTCAGTTAAAAATCCCTAACAGTACATGCTTACACAACTGGTGTAAAGTACTATATTATTTTTCCGACTTTCCAACGATTATCGACACTACTGTGTGCCGGAAATAGCCGTTCCCTAACGGGTACTTTACGCGGATTCGCGTTAGTGTGCCAGGCCTGGACTTTAAGCGTGCACCGAATTAAATAATGACAAAGTTTGTCAATAACAAAATCAAATATTTAATTAAACTTCTAGTAATAAACTATATACAGTATTTAGTAAAAATCAAACAATAATTTATTCAATGAAATTCAACAAGAATCAATCCGACAAACTCAAATCAATCTATTTCTAACTTAATTCTATTCCCCTTTGGAATTCGACAAAATCAAAGAATTAACTTATAAACAATAATTCTTATAAATTAAAGATCCTAATCGTCACCTCAATATACTAGGAACCTATTTCCTCAAACTCTCAAGACTTTCTATAATCGTCGATCCACAAATCGAATAACTTCAAAATCCTATCGGACACCTCTCTCGTTCACTGCTACGAAGCTCACCAAAGCTCGTTGCTATCAGGAATTCACCTCGTTCGTTTTCACTTGAGTTAGAGGCTTTATAGTGTGAGGTGACGTCACAATTCTGAATGAGCTCACTCTCCTCATTTACATACTTATCTGTAACATTAAATTTTTCTTGTTTATCTGGCAGATTATTTTCCGACAATACTTCGCTAACCTTTTACATTATTCTTTTTAACAATTATCGGGATGCTTTATTCTTTTAAGGTTTAGCGATTCCTAACTGGGTTGTGGGGTCTTCCCCCCCCTTTTTCTCGGTGCGGACTTACTTTTTTCCGCTTGGGAAGCGCAAGTGTGCGCGAGTTTTTCTACGGCGCTTTTCTTTCGTCGGTGAGTTGGTTTTTCTTCTATTTTTAAGTTACTAAGGTGAATGGTGAGGAAACCTTCGTCTTAAATAAACATAAGCCCCAAACAAAATATAATGAAAGCAAAATAAAAGTAAAATAAAAATAAAGCTCAGACTTGGTTCCTTACACTGGTATAAGAGATATTGTAGTACAAAAGAATATTGATTGTGGCACAAATCTAGTAAACTATTATTTATAAATTTGTTGTCAAAAGTAAGTTTATAATTGCATCTTAAAGAATAAGATACACTTAAAATCTGATAAATTAAAGAACAGTTTATTAGAATTTTTATTCTAATTTTATATTTACATCAAATTCACTAGAATTTATTTACAATTCATTAATGTTTAACTTCTCTCTTCAATTTGATTCAGAAGAAAGCAAGAAAGTATTAACTTCCTGCTTTTTTTCTGAATCACTAATTATTATTTTTCTGTAAATTATACAAAAAAATAAATGAAAATATTAATATTGTAAAATTTAGGAATTTCATTAACTATTTGGTAAAATTAGAATTCACACAATGCTTTCTTGAAGTACTTCCTACATTCAAATGTCTAGCTGTCAATTTTAGTTCTTTCATAAATTAAAAATTGTGTGACTAACTTAAATATTAATAATTAAAATTTCAGTTCTGATCTATCAGAGAATTAAAAAGCCTATTCTTTATTTTACTAATTAAATGTGTAATTACTTGGCCATCAAATCCATAGCCTTCTTCAGAATGTAAGAAATCATTATAAACTTGATTTGTTGCACAAATAACACGTGAAACATATTCTTGATATTCTGGTGAAGAAATTGCAAACAACAAGAGTGCACCAAGGGGGATGGAATCATAAGTAGAATGTACACCATCAATGGCTGAAGGAGATGCTTGGAAACTATATGGTGATAAACTGGAAATTTAAATAAATTTTTAAGTTTATGTTATTTAATTATTTTTAAAAATTTAAATAATTTTTAATTATATTTTAATTTTTTAAATTAATTTAATAATTTTCTAAATTTATATTTTTAATGTTTAAATTGATATGTAATTTGAAAATAGTCACATCTACAATAATTTTTCTATAATAAATACTGTAATTTAAAAAAATTGGCAGTATCTTAAAGATATACTGATTTAATTATATTCATTTTAATAAATATTTCTCGGAATTAAGTTTTATATATGATTTCAGAACAAATTTTAAAATACCAGTGTTGAAATATATTTAGCAGTCCAAATGAAGGGTACAATAAATAAGGATTATCATGAAACTGCTTATTTACAAAAACTGAAATGAACTGTTACATTCTAATGTGATAAAAGGAAAAACACTGTAGTGAAGAAATTTCTAATAATTAGAAATTTTTTTACATGACAATTTTTTTGTTTTATTCTTGTATTGTTTAAATGCAACCAAATCTGGTATGGTGACATTTTGGGACATATATAAAGCATTTCCATGAAAAAATACCAAACCTCACCACTATGACTGACACTTTGGACTTTAACTCATGTAATTTTTGGTTGTGGGACAAAAACAAATATGGTTTTTTGAGGATATTTTGAAAATTTGGCAGACTTAATGACAGAATCACATTGCCATATGAAAAGCATCAAGAAAGTCAATTATAAACCGTTCATAAACACAGTGTTCATCACATTCAGAACAGAGATCACATTAGGTATATACCCTGCATTGCAAGGTCATTGTAATGCAAGAGTGTCTTATACAAATAGAAGATTTGTTGTTTTCAGTGCTAAAAGTTCTATAGTAGCAAGTTTTGGTACTAATTTTTGTTTTTATGAAAATATCTTCCATGTCCTGAAATGTCACCATGCCAGATTTGATGCATTATGACTGCTAAATCTCTTTCTGGACAATGTTAAATAGGGGTATTTTAATTACAGTCATCTTGTATATATTTGACTGCTCCAATAATTGAAAAAAATTTATTTGGTAATGTTAAAACTACATTTTATAAAAGTTGTTATAAAAAATAAACTGTAAATTTTTAATACAATCTTAAACATTGAAATTAAAAAGGCATCAGTGAAATTACAACACCAAAAGAAAGGGTATGGAATGATGAATAGTAGAGATATTGTAAATATGTAAAGGATCAAAAAACTGACACTAGATATGCATTTTATCAAGATTTAACCAGTAATGAGTATGCACACAATGTGTAACAATACACCACGATACACCTTGGCATACTATCAATGAAGATACTGATGGTTGTCTGAGAAATGATGCAACAGTAAGGTTGGCAAGTGGCTGCTCTCTTTGCAGTTGCCAATTGATGACATTCCAAATGTACAGTACTCTGAGTGACAAGTCTGGAAACGTGTATTGCCATGGCCTACTGCACTGTTTACAGTAATGAGCAACATGAAATCTACTATTGTCATGTTAAAAAACAGTGCAGGAACACTTTGAAGGAATGGTCATAATATCAGCTCCACAACCAAATCAGCATATCATTGAGCTTTGTGGATGAGAATGGTATGGCTACCACACATTATGTAAGTCATCCCACACCATAATGCCAGGAGTTGGCTTGCTGTGACATTCTCTTTTGAAGGCCTGTTCATGGCATTGGTGGCTTTCTCTTCACACCATTCTCATCCTGCTTATTTTTATTGATTTCATCGTACACAATGCATCATAAGATCATACATCATCATACTTGTTGTTGTGACATAGTGTGAAAGAGTGAAGAAGTGTGCTTCACTCTTTCACACTATGTCACAACAACAAGCTATCTGCTATAAAACCTTTATATCTTCAAGTCCCTCTCACAGGTCCATGGTCAGAGCTACATATGTGGATGTTTGATAATTTCTATATCTTACCCATACCTCCTATTCCTAATTTGCATACTTCTGTATCTCTTCTTTCAGTGTTGCAATTTCACTGTTGACAAGGGTAAGTTGAAAATATAGTGTATGAAACTAAAATTAAATATATTGCTTAGGTTTACTCATTGATGAAAAATCAATGTATAAAATTATAAGTTCTCATTAAAATAAAATACAGAATTTTTACATGCAAAAATTCTGTATTTTAATAAAATAAAGGAACCATAAATAGGTTATAGTCTTACTTTATAAAGTTTACAAAGCTATTTAACTTCTATAAAGATATAAATAAAATATGTAGCACAAAATCTAAATATAAAGGTAGAGAAAACCCTTATTAAAAAACAATAAAAATTACATTTATAGGAATCCTTATGAAAATGAAAAACAAGCATGTTATTTATAGAAAACAATGAAAACATCTGAAAATAATCATATTTAATTTTAATATCTTAAAGCAGCATTTTGTAAGAGAGTAATATTTGTAAAATTTACAATGTATTGTCAGAAGTTTTCTGAAGGTAAAATATAGTTTTTATAAATGTCATTAGCAAGGTTTCGGCTAAAGTTTTCAATGCAAAAATGTGAACGTTGAACATTCAGTGCCCCATCCTGTAAGCCTAGAAGTTTGACAAAGGCATTTGGAATGTCAAGCACAATTCCACTGACATTCCAAATGCCATTGTCAAACTTCTAGGCTTACAAGATGGTAGTGCTGAATATCTGATGTTCACATTTTTGAGTTGAAAACTTTGGCTGCAACCTTGCTATTAATTTAATTTTCAATTTTTATAAGTAACTTAATAAAATGACCAGAATGACAACAATATATAAAAATACATTAAATTAGAAGAAAAAATGTCCTTCATATTTATCCTGAAGAACATCTTCAGAACAGGCTTTACCAGAGGTGTTCACAGAGACAAAATATTAAGACATTTATTTCTTCACATTTTGCTGAGGAGGAACTGTAAGTCCAAAATTCATACTATTGAAAATAAATTGAAATATTGATGCTGGTCTTTTGTCTGATGACAGTGTGATAAGTCTAGAAATAAAGATGCCATCATAGAGCTCACCAGCACATTTTAAACTAGATAAGAAGCATATTATAGTACATTTATATCTTCTAATTTAGTGTATTTTTTTATTTGATAAATAAGGTTATAATATATTTATTTCAACGTTACATATAGCATTATAAATATCTGAATTTATAATTTTATTTAATAATTCTTTAATCACAGTTTTTTTATTTTGTATTTCTGTACAGAAGCAGAAATTTAACTTACTTTGATAGTACAGCTAAGGCCTCACTGCAAATGGAAGGACAGAAAACTAAGCAGATAGATATACGACCTATCATACTGGAATAATGTTGTCGAACAACACTTTCGAAGGCACCACGAAAAGTGGTTATGTCAGATTTTTTAGAAGCAACGGTATCAATGCCAGTGTCAAGAATACTTCCACCATGAAGAACCATGATGAGAACAGAAGTGGGGCATGAACGATGTGCGGGAGAAGAAGTTGGAGTTGCAGGCAGTGATGTGTCTATGCTTCCTCCACAGCTAACTATAGACATTTTTGATGATCTTCCTTGTAAAATGAATTCGCTTTTTGCATGAGCTGCTGTGAATATGTTATCTAAAAAATATAATCACTATTTTTTATTTATATTGTTAATTTTTATTTTGTGTGTTTAATTATTCAAACAGTTTACTTATTATAATTTTGAAATTATTTAAAAATGCAAAATTTTCTATATTAAATATAATACAAAAATAAATTACCTACTTTTCAATTTTTGTAAGTCCCAACTATTAATTATAATAAATACCTTACAAATTAATTTTATTTGACAAGTATTTAGTTGTTAATTATAGTCAATTAAACAAGCACTTGTTTTTAATGTTAAGCTAAAATTAAATTAAGATAAATTTTAAAATATTGCTTATAAAATCAAACACAGTAAAACCAAAATCCAGCAATGAAAAAGTTACTCTGATAAGCAAAACAAACATTTTCAATCATTTTAAACAATCATTGTCAGGTTTAATTGAGTAAAACAGAACAATTTCATTAGACAACAATGTTTTTAGATGATGTATATGTATAAGTCAATTGTGTTCCAAAACTGGAATTTATCACTTAAACACAGATAAAGTTATGTATAAGTTCAAATAAATTATAGCCCATGCTTTTACGAGGATGGAGGAGCATCCAATTAATGTACTTCAAAAAAACTTTCAAGCAGGCGAGATGATTTCCATGTGCTTGTAATTAATGGCCTTTCATCTTCTGGCTGCCTTGTAAATTTTCAGTTTCTCCAGATATCCGCTGTGGATAAAGTCCCATGTTGAAGGTAAGATGTAGATTGGATGTAGCTTCATTTACCCGCCTCAAGCATCTAGAGAAACTGGAAGAGGAAATGGTCGGTTGGGAGTCAGACTGTTGGAGACAGCCATTCCCTGAATTAAAATTTCTTTAAGAAAGAGACAATTTCAGTCAATTTTGAAAATCCAAGAGGCTGTAGGGAGAAACTAATCAGCATTCCAAAAAGATCCTTTTGTGAAAGTATATGTTAATTACTAAGCATGCAAAAATTTTCATCAATCACAGAGGGTGAATCATTTTGAAAACTGATACTAAATTGAATCATTTCTGCCAAAAAAAAATTTTTTTTAATAAATTCAGTCCCTAAACTTAACAGATGCATCTTGTATATCGAATTTAATGTTAATATTTTTCCACACATCAAATTCAATAAGTCAAAATCAATATTACAATATCTAAAATACAAAAAGTTGCTAAATGCTTCATATTTAAACATGATAAAAATTTTTTTTTATATTAAGCATTTACTTCAAAAATCATACAGTGAAGTAATAGTACAGTATGATTTAATATATCAATGAGCAATTATTTTATTGACATCATCACAAAGCCTGGTTGCAATTTTTAACCATATTTTTAATTTATTTAATTTAAAATATTATACTCTCCACCTCAAATTAATAGTGGCTTGTCTCTGTACATCACATTTTTTCTTTAACAATACAGTCATGTTGGTCATCTATCTAACACCTTTCAGAGAAAAATTTTTTAACTGAAACAGCATGATTTCCAGTTTGCATCAAAAGTTCATATATAGTTAATCGGGGCTTCCTGCCCCTAAGATTTCCATATCTGGTCTCATCCTTCATCTATCTAACTCCATTCCTGAGATTAAGGAAAGATGAACAGATGGATGGACATACAGACAGGCAGATGACACTGAGAATTTATGGGTCTACAATTTTTTTAAATTGCAGCCCAATTACAGAAGTGTGCATTAATGTAATGAATAAAGTAAGTGTTAGAAAATAGTGCTTAATGTTTGAGAAAGATCAACCATTCATGACAAAAAAAAAAAAAAAGACCATTCCAAACACCCTCTCTTGTGACTGATGAACTGAAGCAAAAAATAGATGAACATTTTTGATCACTTAACATACAGTCCTAATCTGGCTGCCAGTGACTTTCACTTGTTTCTTAAAATGAAAGATTTTTTTGGATGATAGTCACTAATTGGCTAAAAAAATGGCAGCAGCATATGGAAAAGGAATTCCATGTTATGATAAATGCTTAAATCTCAAAGGCAACTACATTGAAAAATAAGTAAATCTTGTAGTGAATACTCAATAAATTATTTTTTATTTATTAATTTTGTACAAAAAATGTTCTTTACTTTCTGGGCAACCCTCTTATTTATAACTATAAAACTTACCATTGATTTTAAGATAAAGGCTATAAAATAAAGATTTCATAATATTGTACAGCAAATAATAAAAATTGATCAATAATAAAAAAAATAACTAAATAATAATTTAATCTGTCATTTTTACCTTCTTGTACTTCTGCAGTTTCTGGAGTAGTTTCTTCTTCATTTGGAATAAGTTCCATGGAACTCCATCTTGGAAGTGATGTTATTTCAATATCTAAATAAAATTTACATATTTTCAATTTTTTAAATTCATATATTTAAAATAAAATAAATGTAACATTTCTTTTTGACCATAGTTTAAATTCATGTATTTGTTTTATTGTCTTGGGAAAAAATGATTATTTGATCTCTAAATAACACACACCTCATAAAAAACCTTTACCCAATGCAAAATAAAATTTAACGTTCAGAGCTATAGGTCACGTGATTCCATTCTAGCTTTTCGATTTTAAAAAATCGTTCCAAACGAATATTTTTCGTATTTATTAACTTTTCAAACGATTTTTACCTGAAGAAAGACCCAGGAGGGGTCTGAAAACTTTTGTACCGTTAAATTTTATTTCGCATCGGGTAAAGGTTTTTTATGAGGTATGTGTTATTTAGTTAAATCCGATGTGAAAGTGATAATTATTAGTTGATCTCTACTTATGATCTGTTAAATGTCTTCTAAAATTAGAATTTGTGAAAATTTACTTCATAATAACATCTAAAAACATTCCAACCATAATATAATTGTAGTCTATATACAGATTGTGTTCCTGAAGTGCATTTTAATATAAAGATTTGTGCAAAATAAGACCATTATGCTGTTAAAAAGAAAGTATTAAAATTTGAGGATGTGCATTCCACAAACACTAAATAGTCCATCAACATAATTTTTTTGGCTTATTTTACAGATAAAAAATTAAAAAAACACAAAATTAAATTAAATTTGCAGGGAAAATTTGCATTTATTAGATGACAAAATATCATGATCTAAAATCTATCATTATCGTTAATTCAAGAAATCTGTAGTGAATCTGTATGAATTTATAGCAATTATTTTAATTTTTATGTTTACAAGTATATCTGATTGTTACTCATAAAATGTTGAATTCAACCCCTTTTGCAACTTGCAATGAGAAATGCATGTTGTATGATCATCAATGGACAGTATAATAGTTGGTTGCAGACAAAGCACCAAGTCTGTAGCCAAGGAATTGACAGTTTTGTGGACAGCAACAGGGATTACCATTATTGTACTTCATCCATTCTTCACAGATGTTTTATTTTGTAGGCAAGTTCCAAGTATCCACTAATCTTTTCAGGTATAAGTATTTTGTATGTTATGGGTGTTTGGTACAGCTTTGTTTATATGAGCTGCTCACTTGCCAAATTGATTAACTCCACAAAACAAAAAGTAAAAAAAATTGATAATATAAATTAATTTTTAAAATTCCTTTTAAACGATAAATTTAAATAAACATTATAGAATGTATTTTTATTTACTGTTTATGTTTTATTTACTATGCATTAAAGCATAGCTTTAATGCATAGTAAATAAAACAAAATCAAATATGATCTGTTCACAGGACAAATCGATTAACTCCATTTCTAAATCCTTAATATAATCATTATTATTTTTACATTTTTTGCTCAACTAATTTTATATATTGTTACATTAAAGCTATGCATTAAAGCATATCTTTAATGCTTTAATGCAAGCTTTAATGTAACAATATATAAAATTAGTTGAGCAAAAAATGTAAAAATAATAACGATTATATTAAGGATTTAGAAATGGAGTTAATCGATTTGTCCTGTGAACAGATCATATTTGATTTTGTTTTGTTTGTATATGAATGTCATGCTGGTTTGTTGTGAGGGATTGTTTGTGTGTATGATCATGGCTTGGTCATAGTATATTTGTGTGTATTGTTTTTCTATATCTGTCTTAGCGTGTATATTCATAATATGGTTCCTGGGTGTAGTAGTTTGAGTGCAAGCTTTGGATGTATTATATTTGTTATTTAGTTATGTCAATGTAAGTAGTCTGCTGAAAGCTTGCAACCCAGTTTGATGTGTTGAATAGTTTCATGTATGATGTGACATTTCTTACAAGTGCCATCTATAATTTTTGTGTCTTTTAAAATATGCTTCCTGTAGTTTTTGTATTTATGACTTGGTCTTGTATAGCAATCATGAACTTTTCCACCTCTCCAAAAAGACATTCATGAGTCAGTCAGCAGTTTGACACAGTTCTCTCAATGTAAAGTGGACCAAGTGCACTAGGTTGCTTATCACAGTTCTTTCCAAAGCCCAAGACTGATGGTGTTTATGCATTCTTTGTGTACTGTGATAGATTTAAGTAGTACTATATAACAGGGGTGGCCAACAAGTGGATTGCAATTGACCGGTCGATCGCAAAACCAATTTTGGTCGATCGTTTGCGATGTCTTGACTTAATGTGTTACACTTGTAAGTTGTAACCGAATGCAATGCGTGAACGAAACGCGCAAACGCAACTGTAGTGATATCGAACCTCCTCGTTCTTCCTCAGATGTGATTTTGTCGGTCCATGTGCAATCCATTTGCGTACAGTTGTAAAAGGGGAATAAGAAATGTAGACAAAGGGTCATAAAATCAAAAAAAAGAAGAGACAGAGAGAGTAGGTCGGGACACGGTAGAGAGAAGGGTGAAGTGGTGGTCCCCGAAAGTGACAACGTTGAGTTTCAATTTTTCCTCTGTTTAAAATGTAAGTACCTTTTCTTCGTGTTTTAAATTAAACTGTGGCTTTTCTTTTCTATCTAAACTTAGTATGTATTTCACACCTCCCTTCCCCTCGCCACTTAGACCAGGGATGGGCAACCTTTTTCTGTATAAGGGCCGCATTTCAAAACTTTTGAACTAACGCAGGCCACATACAAGATAAAAGAGGGAGGAAAATGCCAGTAAATCACAATTATTTATTCATATATAATTATAAAATAGAATAGGTATACTTAATTTAGCTACTAGAGCTGATGTAAACGTAATGTATCAAAAATATTTGATTAAATATTAGTCACTGCTAGTTTTAAATTAGTTTTGAGGTGAGTCTGTTAGCTGGTTTCTCGTTTTAATTTTTACTAAATTCATTGTAGGAAAAACTATTCACACACATAAGTTGTAGAAAATAACATTTGAATTTTTGCTGCATACTTCTTAAGCTAGGAAATTGATATATTTATACACATTTTATGCGACTCGGGCCACAGAATGCCCATCCCTGACTTAGATTATGCCTACAGCAACGAGTCGATTGCAACACATTTTTAAGATAAAAGGTAGATCTTATGTACACAAAAGTTGGCCACCCCTGCTATATAAGTTTAACAGTGTACTGTTTTTGTCTGCAAGAATTACAGTTTTGTTTAATTGTGATGTTTCTTGTTTTCTCATAAAAATTCTTACAGTGTCTGTATTTGGTAGCAGTGAAGACTTACTGTATATGAAGTCTTGTCCTCCGTCTTTGTGAAGAAACAGTCAGCCTTACTGTGGACAACTTAGAATAGTGTTTATGTTTTGTTAATGTTTGTGCTTTTTTTTGGAGCTATTCTAGCTTTTTGTATAGCCAACGTGTAACTCCAAATGAATATGTTAGTACAGTTGACCCACCTATAACACTGTTGATTTTTCCTTTTTATATGAATTCCATGTTGTACGAGTCATTTAGATTTTACAAATATATGTGCCGGGCTGTGAATGGCTCACGTATTTGTAAAATCTAAGTGACTCATACAACATGGAATTCATATAAAATGGAAAAATCAACAGTGTTATAGGGGGAGTCGACTGTACTGGAACAACACGTGAGTTGATTAGTTTAAATATGTGTTTTACATTCTGCTATATTTTTAAGCTATTTTGAAACTTAAAAATGCTTTAAAGTTTTTTGTTATATAAAAATGAATTAACAAAATAAATATACATATGCTTTCTAAATACATACCTTCAGCATCAAAATATTCTTCATCTGAACTTGTTTCAGAATCTCTTACGATACTCTCCATTCTCCAATTAGCCATTTGTACATCAAAATGAGCCATGGAATTACCATCTAAAAATAATTTATGTTAATATTATTTAAATATTATTATTATAAAAATTTAAATTTTTAATTCTCTAATCACNAACATCTTTCAGTCATAAACATGTCAGCAAAAATTAATGTCATTTTTTAATCAAGATAACCTCATGAATTAATGTAATTGTGACAGATTTTTCCTATTGAGTACATTTTAACAGAAAATTTTTCAGTGTATAAAAAACACTTGCTCTATTTGATTTTATATTCAATTTTGGAAGAACTTCAGAAAAGAGTATAATGTTTTCTGTTTGTCTGTATTATGTTGAATTTTTTATATTTATGTTTCTAGTTTAAGTCTGATTTTAAAACAGCAAGATGATTGCTCTGCTTTTCCTATGCATTAACACATTTTTTAAAATTACCAAAAAAGATTAATTAATTATGACCAAAACAAATGAAGAAGGATTTAGAAAATATTTAATTTGAGCAAATAAACCACCCAAGTTACTACTAAAAGCATCACAAAGCATCTAAAATTTTCTATATTTTCAGTGAAACAATATAAGGAAGTTTCACTTAGAACTGTGTACTTTCTTTTTTTAAGAATATACATAGAAATATGTATTTTATATTCTGCTTCCTTTAATTTTAAAGTCATTTCACTAAATATAGCAAATAATATGACTATATTAATAAACCAGCAACAAACTGATCAACTTTCCTAGCAATATTTAAAATTTTTGTGACACCATCTGTTATCATATTTTATTTAAAAACTTTTTTATTTTAACTATCATAAAATGCAATAAGCTTAATTTTGAGGGTAGGGATGAGTCTAATCACAATTTTCAACATAAATGTTAAAGCTATTGTAAAAAATAAACCAGCTCAACTTTCCCAGCAACGTTTAAAATTTTGGTGACACCATCTGTTATCATATTTTATTTAAAAACGTTTATATTTTAACTATCATAAAATGCAATAAGCTTAATTTTGAGGGTAGGGATGAGTTTTATAAAAAATTGTATATACTATTGGGACCTTGAATAAGTTCTCACTGTTTTTTTGTGAAAATGAATGCTTTATTTAAAAAAAGTCATAAAAAACATGTCACTGAAAGTATTGTCCATTGCTAACCACTACGTTCTTCCATCGATCTGTCAGCATTTGAATTCCACATTGGAAAAACGTTTTTTGAGGCTATCCAAGAAGTGACCTATTTTTTGGCATCTTCATAAGAATGGAAGTGCTGCTCAGCCAAGCCATGTGACTTTGATTGGAACAAGTGATAATCAGAAGGGGCAATGTCTGGTGAATACAGTGGGTGGGATAGGACTTCCCATTTAAGCGTTTCCAAGTAGGTTTTCACTGGTTGTGTAACATGTGGCCGAGCATTGTCATGTTGCAAAATCACTTTGTCGTGTCTCTGCTCGTACAGCGGCCGTTTTTCCTTCAATGTTCGGCTCAAACACATCAATTTTAGTCGATAGCAATATCCCATGATGGTTTCATTCGGTTTGAGCAGCTCATAATAAACTACACCCAGCTGATCCCACCAAATGCAGAGCAGAAGCTTCAAACCATAGATGCTGACGATGTTGATGCATGGCTGGGCTTAACCCATGATTTTCTATGCTTAGGGTTATCATAGTGTATCCACTTTTCATCACCAGTCACGATACGATGCAAAAAACCTTTCCTTTTCTGTCATTGAAGCAGCTGTTCACACGTGAAAAGATGCCGTTTGACATCTCTCAGCTTCAATGTGTATGGCATCCAATGTCCTTGCTTTTGAATCATTCCTAATATTTTCAAATGTTTCAAAACTGTTGTATGATCAACTCTTAATGATTCTGCAAGTTCAGCTAGCGTCTGACATGAGTCTTCATGAAGTAATGACTCCAATTCTTCATCTTCAAACTTTTTGGTGCACCAGAATGTTCTTACCTTCGACATCAAAATTATTACTTTTGAAGCATCTAAACCAATCTCTGCATGTTGTTTCTGAAAGAGCATGGTTGCCATAAGTCTCAACAAGAATTCTGTGTGCTTCAGCTGCAGAATTTTTTGAAAAAAATAGTGCAATAAAATTTCCCACAAATATTCTTTTTTTTGGCACAAAACTCGACATGTTTAACACTGTGAAAAAGTTGTTTACACTTCAGCGAAATGACATATACTGAATTTCATGGTTGCTTATTGTACTTCATTACATATACATCACCATCTTACTGGTAATGCCATCTGTTGGAAAAAGCAAGAACTCATTCAAGGTCCAAATAATAATGAGTAAAATCATCATTAAGTCCAATCCTACTTGAGATACATATGATCCCCTTTATCTCCTCACCCCTCGACCTTTAACCACCAAAATTTAATAGCATCAATTTCCCTATAAACAAACCTCTCCGCAAAATTTCTGAAATTTTGCGGGGATGTTTGTTTACTAGGAGGAGATTAGGTTTATTAGGAAATTTCAGAAATTTTTTCCAAATTACGCTAATAAACTTGAATTGAATTGAAATTATTTTATTACAGTTAAATATTTTAAGTAATAAAAGAGTTTTATAGATCTGTAACATTTAGCACATAATCAAAAATCATATTGACAGAAACATCTAGATAAATATACTATAAAGATAATCATACCTTGGTCATAATTTTTGTTTTGAAGATGCATTTTGAATATATTATCTACTTACTTCTGCTTCTTCATTCTAATTTATTTCTTAAAGATGATTTACATCAATTTCAAAAGAGTTTTAAAAGTTTATTTCATTTTTTAAAATTATAGAATTTATTTTATTCTTATTTATCATGTTTATTAATTTATTTGCTTGTGTATATATACACAAGCAAAAACTAATTTATAAAATACAGAGTGTAACAGAACTCTGTGCTAATATTTTAAGGATAGATTCTATGATCAAAAATAAGCTTAAAATCCTCTATAAACATTTTTCAAATTCTGATTCATTTTTGAGATCTGGCCTTTCAGTAAATCATATAGAAACCAATTTTAAAACTTCTGCGAAAAGGATACCATTGTTTGGAAAATAATCAATGGTATCCTTTTGTGTTACCAACACATACAAACTAAAAGTTTATTTTAAATAAAGTGTGAAAGAAAAAACAAGAATTGTCAAATTTTTTTAAATATTGAGATACTTATGCCATTTGATAGGTAAATATAGACTTAATTGGATGAAAACTGAAATGATCCAATAATTAAATGAATTTAAAATGTCAGAAAGAAGGTTAAAAATGGGAAAGTCCCATCATGCATAGTATAAAAACTGGGAAAGTCTATTTTAATGAGAGGACAGATAGATAGATTTGAATCCCGCTTTTTTTTTTGTTGACATTAAGAGCAAAATGTTTTTGCAGTTTGTATGAATTATAGTAATAAATAAGTTATAACATTATAAACAATGTCTTCTGTTAGTGACTTGTGTGAAACTGTTGACAAATTTTCAATATTTCTGTTAAGGTAAGTTAAAAATATTTTATTTATACTTAATGCAGGTATGTACTGTACTTACTATAGTTTTAATACAATACCTCCAATCAAATCTATTACTATTTAGGAACTTCTAATTCTTGAAACCTATCTATCTCAAATTTTCTTCTCATTCCCATGAGATTCAAGATACAGTTTCAACTTGTAATTCATCCATGAACAAAGACTAATACTTGTTCTCACACAATCCACGACTCACTTTGATCTTGATTGTAACTGTTGCCAGTCAAATGTCAAGCTTTTCACACAGGCAGTCCACTTGAGAAGAACCCGGCTATTGCACGTGATGATGAAACTGACATAACTACTCGATAAGTCACAAACACCAACAAACAAAATGGAACTTTTTCTTGCCATGTATCTAATAATAGCCAGATCTCATTATCTCTCCAAATATTTTTTTTATTTCTCTGTTGATAGCCCGACATGTGTTCTGCAGACATCTTGTTTTTTCTTGCGTGCGTGGGATTGTGGGAACTCTCTTATGACTGGATCTAGAACTCTAGAGTCGATTGCAATTGAATCTCGTTTCAGTCGTGATTGAAATGGTTGAGAGAGGTCGCACCACAGCACAGTCGCCAACCTTGGTCACAATCTAGATTGAAATGCTCAGTGCAAACAGGGTATTACAAAATAATTTAAACTAAAAGTCAATAAAGAATTTTAGTTTTTTTTATATCTTTTTGTTTTTTTATAGATCAATTGGATCAGGAAAATTCATTATGGTGGTAAAAAAAATTGCTGAGCCCATTTTTCTTCATGATGATGATAATGATGATAAAATGTGAATGCTAGAAAATTTGCTAGAAATGTAGTTCTAGAAAGATTGAGCTAAGGTCAACAATGGACTTGTTAAGAACAATTTTTGTTCATCTCACAATTTCAAAATTTGAAAATAGTGATTAGTCTTTAAGTTCACCAAATTTAATGTGCACAAATTTTTTTCCCATCTTAAAGATTACTGAATATCAATAAATTCAAGAAATTTGAAGAATTGAAAAAAATTTCCTAGAAATTATAGTATTTAGTCAAGGAGTTTTAACATCTGTAATGAATCATATTTTGGAAAAAGCAAGATTTTGTGAAGATACCAACAGAGACCATTCATAGAACATTATTTTTTACAATTATTCTAAAAAATAAATTTGATAAATTAAACCACATCAGCAATTTATTTCATTAAATTTTATTTAAAAATAAAANTTCTTTCCTGAACTAACTCTCACTGCTGTGCCAATCTTTAAACACCAGTATTAAGTCCTATTAATAAATAAAGTCCAAGTAGACAATTAACAATAACATTTTTTAAAATGTATTTGAATCTTTTTAATTGATGTTACAAAATTAAAATAATTTTTAATTTAGAAAAATAAAATTATAAGTCAGTGATGCATAACTAATTGTAGAAAAAAATAATATTTTTCACAGAAGTTTTTCTTTCTTTGTTTTTTCCTTCACTATTAGAGCACTTAAAAATTCTTGTTGTAAATCTTATAAACCAAGTTTTAAG